TGGTACGTTAAGGAAGTGGACGGAAGAAAACAGCAACATCAGCAGAAATGGTTCGAAAAGTAAAGAAGCGACTTGATCGAAACTCGCGTCGCAGTGGCCGAAAAATGGTTCGTGAGCTGAACATATCGCAATATTCTATTTGGCAAATATTGAAAAATGAGCTCGGTGTAAAGCCATTGAAATTTCAAAAAATGCAAGAACTTACACCGCAACAGGAAGAAAATAGACTCAAGGGCTAAAGAGATGCTTCGCTCGGCCGCAGACCTTGAACATTCCAAATGGACTCAGCACCATCGCACTCAGCATGCGCAACCCAAGAATGGTTACAAAATGAGGTTCCTCGCTTCATTTCCAGCGCACAATAGCCACTAAAATCGCCGGATACCAATCCGTTGGACTATTGTGTCTTGAGTATTTTAGAAAGCAAGTTTGGCACTAAAAAATACCAAAGTGGCGATCAGCCCAAGCAAGCGCTTCGCCGGGAATGAGCCAAAATACCGCAGAGCAACATTCGGGCAGCGTGTGACGGTTTATAGGCCATAATTGTTGCCAAAGGTGACCAATTCGAACAAATCTATACTTATTCTAAAATTTTATGCTTTCCGACATGTTTTGCTTTCATTCAATTAAATTAAAAAAAATTTAAAATTATGGCGTTTGACTTTGTTGCAGTTTTATCTTGTATACAATTTTTATATCTTCAAAATTAGATTATAATGTCCTCTGCAGAACGCAATTTTCCCTCAAAATGCATATTGGATTAACGTAATGTTTCGAATTTTCAATAAGATTTCCCTTGCCAATAAACCGAAATATTCCACAAAACTTAGTAAAAACCAGGTAAATTTTTAATCGCGTTTGTGTTATTTTCGTGTTGTCCCGCCCACATTAGAAACTAGAAATTCGTTTAAAACCGACATCAGCAAAATATTTTCCATTGGATTTTTGTCCTACCACTAAAATACCAAATGTATTTTATCAATGGGAGCAGGGGGGTTTTCTTATTTACTTATTCCCATTTGCATTATAAATTGGAAAATTGTAAATGTTCGAAATTTTCCTAAAGATTAATGACCGTTGCCCCATATGGGGAAAACGTGTAATCAAATTGGAATTTGTCATACGTATCAGAAATACCAATATGAAGCCACATAGCACACATTAACATCTAGGTAGATAAAGGCTACTGGCTCATGCATCGGGGCATTTAAAGTACGCCAATACAAATACTAAATTTCATACATTCATACATAGAATGGAGTTTCCACTTTATGTGAGAGTCATAACGAGGCGCCAGAGACATAGGATTTTTTAGATATTTTGGAAAAATATTTATTTAATTTGGGTTTTAAGAGCAACACGACACGCTTAGGGCGTGATGTGCCAAGCCGGAAACGGATAAACATTCCAAAAATAAATTACCTGAATTTTACTTTAGGAAGTTATCATTATTTTCCACACGTGACTGAACCAAGATTCAGGTAAATGAAATGCTGATGTCAATATTTTCGAAATTCTTATTGAAAATCCAAAACATTCGAACGGAAAAATAACTCGCAAATTTGAAATCTGTGATGGGATATTTTAAATATGGGAATTTAGCAATTACGAGTATGGAATTTCGAATAGAGTTCGGAAAAACGCTTAAAAGCCGTACATTTGTACAAAATATGGAGTGGCACTGCAAAAATAGCATATGATGAGAATTATAAATAAAATCGATAAACTGACAGGCTTAATCACATTTGTTCTTGTTGTTGTTTTTTTTTTTTTACAAAAAGTGAGAATGGGAAGGTCATTTTTTTTACTTATGGGAATTTTGGTGATTTTTTTGTATGAACTTTTTTTGTCAAAACTACATTCCAACAGTGGATTCCATATCAAATATAAGAATTCCACCTCTATCCTGAGACCCAATCCCAAATGCATTACCCTTCTTTTCATGCAGTTATACTACATGTGTCTAAAAACACTTCCTTTTCTCCACCCTAGGCACCAACAGTGACCTCGGTACCAAATTTTAGAATTCCACCTCTACCCCAACATTTAACGGCAGCTCCTTCTCTCAACCACAGACACCAACAGTGACATCCATATCAAATTTCAGGTCTTCTGTTCTATCCCTTCACCAAATACGAAAATAGTACTATTTTTTACTCCATAGACAGCAAACAGTGTCTTCAATATCAGATTTGCAGATTCCAGCCCTTCCCTTCACCCAACACCAAATTTAGTACCATTTAGTACTTTTCATACCAAAATTTAAATTGTACCAAATTTAGTACCACTTTGTAGAAATAAGTACGAGTTTCCAAAGCTTCCTGTATACCCCAATCCTACACTCTGACAGTAATCTTCTTTCCAATTTTCAGGACACCAGCTCTATTGGTTCAGCCAAATCCAAATTTTGTACCATTTAGTACACTTGAGTACATATTTTCATAACGACCTACATCACTCTGTCCTTGTTGTTGAATGCAATAGTAATCTTGTTTCTAATAATCAGAATTCCTGCTCTATCGGTTCACCAAAATTGTGTACCATTTAGTACACATTAGTTCGAACTTCCAAAACTACCCACATTCCTCAGTCTTAGAATGCAATAGTAATCTTATTTCTACATTTCAGAATACCAGCTCTCTATTGGTTTATCCAAATTCAAATTGTACCAAATTTAGTACCATTTAGTACACTTAAGTACAAACATAACTACCTATATCATGCAGTCCTATAGAAATCTTACTTCCAAATTTCAGGACACCATCTCCAATGGTTCACCCAAAATTTAAACTGTACCATATTTAGTACCATTTAGTACACATACGTACAAATGTCAAAAACTACATTCATTTCTCAGTTCCAGAATGCAATAGTGATCTTATTTCGAAATTCCAGCTCTATCGGTTCACCCAAATCGAAATTGTACGAAATTTAGTACCATTTAGTACTTTTCGTGCACATCAGTATAAATATCGAAAACTTCCTCCATATTCCAATACTACATTCCGGCAGTAATGTTAATTTCAAATTTCAGGATTCCTGTTCCATTCGTTCATTTAAATTTAAAATGTACGAAATTTAGTACCGTTTAGTACTTTACGTATTAATGGGTACACACGCCCAAAATTACTTCCATACATCGACCCTACTCCTCAACCTTGATTCCCATTTCAAATTTCAAGTTTCTAACTCCAACCGTTTACGTGATACGAAATGGTAGTAAATATAGTACATTTTAGTACTTTTTGTACGCTTATAGTGCGAATAACCCTTTGGTACATCCATTACACACTCTATCAGTCACACTTATTCCAAATATAGGTGTTCTAGCTGTACTGGTTCGCCAAATACAAAGGATATCATAATTAGTACCTTTTGGTATTTTTCGCACCATCCTAGTATGAATTTTGAAAAACCCAGCCTTATCTGACCTCTTCGGGCCAAGTTTGATTTGTGCTACATTTGAAGAAAACAAAAGTTTTATTTTCCTTTTTTATATTTGAGGTTATAAAAATAAATGATCTTATCTCCTGTGTATATTAAGTAACAATTCTCCATTTGGAGAAACTATAAAACCAAAACGAGTCATTATCATAAAATATTCAATATTTATATCGAAGAAGTTAAAAATGCATGCTTATGCATTGGAATATTCAATGTACGGAAATTCTAATGGAAGTTCTCAAAAATTCATTGATAAAATGGAGTTTCCATTTTAAATTGGTCTTTCTAGAGTGGCGCCAGGGAAAATCGCTCCTTGTGGTTTACCATTAAGGATTTTTTGTGGAATGTTGAAATTCCCTCATTGTCTTGGGTTTTATTTGTGACGGAATTCCATGTCACCAAGTAAGGCGTGATGACATACAAGACCGGAAAATAATAAATATTTCACAATTGGATCAAAAAAATACCTGGATTTTACTATCGGAAGTTATGGATATTTTCCCTCCGAAATTTAAGTCGTTATCAGGTAAACGAAATGCCGATGTCAATATTTAGAAATTCTTATTGAAAATCCAAAACATTGGAATGGGAAAAAATAAATCCTGAATATCTCATTTGTGATGGGATATTTTGATTGTGGAAATTTTCAATAACGAGTATGGAATTTTATTTGTGACTAAGGAAAACTCCTTCAAAGTTATAAATTTTTTTTCAAAATATGGAAAACAGACAGTTAGCTTAGGGGGAATTTTAAGCGAAAACTTAACGCTAAGAAAATTATTTCAATAAAAACAATGAAGTATTAAACTGATGTTTTTGAGTTGTCTCAACTTAAATTACACCTTCGATTTCATCCATATATCCAATTGTTGACATACTGGCCTGTATGACAAATGCGAAATAAAAATAATTCCAAATGTGTTTTTCAAGTTTTAAATTTATTTCAAAATTATTAATTAAAAAAATATCAAATCATTTGTAATAGAGTGTTTCATTTGCATTTATTCTCGTATCGCTGTACTGAAAACGGCCTTTAATCGTCCTCCTCTAAAATTATTCATCATATCTGCAATTTTTGAGCTAATTTCTTAGGAAATTTTTCGTGGAGAAATAAAAGCAACATTTTTCTAGCTTTCCCAAATTAATTTCACATTTCCTTTGGTAATCCATACACAACTAAGGGTTCATCCCCACAAAATCATAAGCTAAATTACTTTTCCACACAACTTCCAATAATGTTTTGGAAACTTACCACTCAAGGGCGTGGGAAACTCTTCGCAAACTACCTGGACTTAAATTTCCTTTTATAAATTTCCCTTTGACCACAATTTTGAGAGTTTTATGACCCACAAACCAAAACAAAGTTTTCGTAGTTCTTATCAAATTATTCCCCCCTGTACCAAACATACTCCTCTTCTTATTGGAAAATATTGACATCAAAGGGTGTTGCTACCTGGTAGGTATAAATACCAGAACATATCTCACTGTTGGCATCATTCAACAAAAAACACTCAAGTAATTAACAACAAAGAAGCAAAACAGAAAATTTGGGAACAATGGTTAACACAAACATCATCATCGTCATAGTTCTCATGCTGGAGATCTGTCAAGCATCCCTGTTGCAGCAACTGAATTACATGGCTGCTCAACGTATTTACACCACCAACAACAACATCGTTTACACCCAAAGACTAACTCCTTTCTCTCTGGACAACATCATGAGTTCGAGTATGGAAATGGCCATGGAAAATTGCCAGCGATCCTTCAAATGGGAACGTTGGAACTGTCCCACATCAGATTTCATTTTGAGACGTGCTGCCAAATCATCGGAATTGGATCGAGAAGGTGCCTACGTGGAGGCTATTGCAACGGCAGCCATTATTTACACCACCGCCAAGAACTGCTCAAGTGGCATGATTGCTGGATGTGCTCCCTGCTCTGATAGCCCCTACACATCTCAGTGTTCCGATAATCCTCAGGCAGCGGAGAAAATTCTGAGAAGACACATTGACGTCAACTTCCCAAATGAGTTCTATGGCAAGATTTTCACACACAACTACAAAGCCATCATCAATCTGTTGGAAAAATCTCTCGTCAAGCAATGTGTTTGCACTGCTGTGGCTCCAAGTGGCAAATGCTCCCAACAATTGTGTCGACAAGTTTTGAAACCCTTCGAAGAGATTGCCGACGACATTCGTCAGATGTACGACGAAGGTATTTTGTTGGAGAACACAATTATCAACTCTCGTATTTTGTGGGACAACATTCCCCTGGATGTCTTGGTCTTTATGCGGGATTCCCCCAACTACTGCGAACTGGATGCTGTGTCACAATGGAATGGTATGGTTGGACGTCAGTGTGCAGCTGGAACGAACAATGGCGATCTATCGGAGGAAGATCAAGAGAGATGTAACCATCTTTGCCGGGAATGTGGTTACAGTGTTGAGCAGAAGAAAGTCTTAACCGAAACCCGCTGCAATTGCAAACTGACATGGGACTTTAAGATGCAATGTGACTCGTGTAAATTTGCTGAGACGCATCATTTCTGTTACTAACCACTGGCGTTGAGTTTTTGTTCTCATAAATTGACAAAGAACTCGCTGGACGAGAGAGACCTCTCAATGATAACAGATATTTATATATAGGATTATGTTGTAAGATATTATTATGAATGGATATAAAATAAATGCCTTTGTTAATATTAACTTTAAAAAGGGGTTTTTGAATGAGTAGAAATACATTTTGTGGGGAAATATACTATTGCAAAGAATTCGGACTCATTAAGGATTGAAAAAAAAATTAAGATATTGATTTGGCCAACTACCTCTTATAACTCTCACCAGACTTTAGTTCGAGAAAAATACCGACTACTTCCTCTACTATATATATACAGGGTGGCGCAAAAGTAATCCTCCTATCAGAAAATGACATACATTTTACGATTGGCCCCTAATGTCAGTTCCGTTTTGACATTTATTTTTGTTTTAAACACATGCGAAATACATATTAATAAACAATGTTACGCTACACTGTTCCAGAACGCGGAATATTAATGACTACTTATTGACCAATAATCGGACGGTGACTTTAGAACACATCAATTTCGTTGCAGATTTCCTGGCCGTCCTACTGGTGAAACACTGCGATGTTTAGCCGCTAGCCTCTAAGAGAGTTGCACAACAAAAGAGGTTAACGGGCGGGGGAGAGGCGGTAGTATCCGTTCTTCAGAAACTATTGCTGTTATAGCCGAGGATATCATGGAAGCGTCGTCGACATCGACCAGACGACGTGCCATGCAAATGGGTATCAGTCGACGGTCTTTACAGCGAATTTTTGTACAAGATTTCAAGATATTTCCGTATAAAGTCCAGATGGTTCATCAGCTGTTTGCTGCTGACTGCCAATCGCGTATTACATTTCAAAGCAATGATCAAGGACTTCTTTTTGCCGCAACTTGATGAGTTGGGATGGGAAAACATGTGGTTCCAACAGGACGGTGCAACGGCACACACTGCGCGTGCCACAATCGATATGATGAAGGATGCATTTCTCAGGCGCCAAATTTCACGTTTTGGCGATTGCACCAGTTAGCCTAGATATATGGAGGTGGTTTCGGAAACATATACCTTAATTGTACGAAAAGTACTAATTGGTAGAAAATTTGGTATTGAGTGAAGGGATAAGGTTGAAATTCTCAAATTTAAAATTGAGGACTTCGTTGGCATCAGGAATTGAGATATGGAGGAGGTTTTGGAGATGTGTGCCATAATTGTACGAAAAGTACTAAATATGGTAATGGTCGAGGGAATAAAGCTGAAATCCTGAAATATGATATTGGGATCTTTATTGGTATCTGGAATTGAGATATTGTACGGAAAATTTAGAAGATTATGAAAGTGAAAAATCATGATTACGATGAGGCATGACAAGTGCTATCCCTTGTAGAATGCGAAGGGAACATCCGATTTGGCACAAATAATTAGTATTTCCTTAATTTAAACTTTTCAAATTTCAATATTTCTGTCAATCGTCTAATCTACATGTCAATTTTATTTTTCTCCGATATTTTCGAAAAATTACAATTTCTAAATCGTTTTCCGAGGCATTTGCCATAAAACAGGCCAGTAATAAAACAATTGGATATAGGGATGAAATCGAAGGCGTAATTTAAGTTTAGACAACTCAAAAAAATCAGTTTAATGTTTCATAATTTTTATCTAAATAGTTTTCTTATTGTTTAGTTTTTGCTCAAAATTCCCCCTAAGCTAACTGTCTGTTTTCCATATTTTGAAAAATATATATAACTTTGCAGGAGTTTTCCTTAGTCACAAATAAAATTCCATACTCGTTATTTAAAAATTTCCGCAATCAAAATATCCCATCACAAATGAGATATTCAGGATTTATTTTTTCCCGTTCCAATGTTTTGGATTTTCAATAAGAATTTCTAAATATTGACATCAACATTTCGTTTACCTGAAACATGACTAAGTCTTGGCTGGAAAAAAATATGCTAAGCTTCCTATAGTAAAATCCATGTACTTTATTTGAATAAGTACTCTTTTCCGGTTTTGCAGGTCACGCCCTAACTCGTGTAATGGAATTCCATTGATGTGAAATCCCATATTAAAGAAGGAATAATTTTACAAAATGTTATGAAAAATCCGCAATGGTGTTCTTCACACTTCAATGAATTCTTGAAATTTAATTTCGTATTTCAATACTTTAAATATACCAATACACCAATATGATATTATCGTGAAAATTACATGAAATTTGAAAATGCCTAATTAAATATACATTTTTCCTAAGCGGGTAAGTTTTCAAAATATCCTTAGAAATAAAGACATATTTCCCTACAGGAGAACTGATATTAAATAAGGAATATTTACATTTCATAAAATTTTCATGTCAATTCTAGGTATATGTCATTTATAGGTTTACCGTCAATGGAATTCCACGCCACGATTAAGGGCGTGATTTGCAAAACCGGAAAGGAGTAAATTTTCCGAAGCATTAAAATAAATTACCTTAAATTAAATACAGGAAGTTAAGGACTGTCAATATTTAGAAATTCTTATTGAAAATCCAAAACATTTAAAATGAAAAATAAGTCCCAAATATTTAAAATGTAGTGGGGTATCTCGAGTGTGGGAAATTTAATTAACAGTACGGAATTTCAAATAAACCTCGGAAAACGATTTGGAAATTGTAATTTTTCGGAAATATCGGAGAAAATGTTATAAATCAAATTGGCATGTAAATTGGGCGAGTGACAGAAATATTAAAATTTGAAAAGATAAAATTAATGAAATATTAATAATTTGTGCCAAATCGGATGTTCCTTTCGCATTCTTCAAGGGATAGCTTCATGGTAATCATGATTTTTTAATTTCATAATCTGCTAAATTTTCCGTACAATGTCTTAATTCCAGCTACCAACAAAGATCCCAATATCAAATCTTAGGATTTCAGCTTTATTCCCTCGACCAATACCATATTTAGTACTGTTCGTACAATTATGACACACATCTCTAAAACCTCCTCCATATCTCAATTCCTGATGCCAACGGAGTCCTCAATATTAAATTTGAGAATTTCAACCATATCCCTTCGCTCAATACCAAATTTTCTACCAATTAGTACTTTTCGTACAATTAAGGTATATGTTTCCGAAACCACCTCCATATATCTAGGCTGACTGGTGCAATCGCCAAAACGTGAAATTAGGCGCCTGAGGAATGCATCCTTCATTATATCGATTATGGCACGCGCAGTGTGTGCCGTTGCACCGTCCTGTTGGAACCACATGTTTTCCCATCCCAACTCATCAAGTTGCGGCAAAAAGAAGTCCTTGATCATTGCTTTGTAATGTAATACGCGATTGGCAGTCAGCAGCAAACAGCTGATGAACCATATGGACTTTATACGGAAATATCTTGAAATCTTGTACAAAAATTCGCTGCAAAGACCGTCGACTGATACCCATTTGCGTGGCACGTCTTCTGGTCGATGTCGACGACGCTTCCATGATATCCTCGGCTATAACAGCAATATTTTTTGCAGAACGGATACTACCGCCTCTCCCACGCCCGTTAACCTCTTTTGTTGTGCAACTCTCTTGGAGGCGAGCGGCTAAACATCGCAGTGTTTCACCAGTAGGACGGCCAGGAAATCTGCGACGAACTTTACGTTTGCTAAAGTCACCGTCCGATTATTGGTCAATAAGTAGTCATCAATATTCCGCGTAACATTGTTTATTAATATGTATTTCGCATGTGTTTAAAACAAAAATAAATGTCAAAACAGAACTGACATTAGGGGCCAATCGTAAAATTTATATCATTTTCTGATAGGAGGATTACTTTTGCGCCACCCTGTATATATATAGTAAAGGAAGTAGTCGATATTTTTCTCGAACTAAAGTCTGGTGAGAGTTATAAGAGGTAGTTGGCCAAATCAATATCTTAAATTTTTTTTTCAATCCTTAATGAGTCCGAATTCTTTGCAATAGTATATTTCCCCACAAAATGCATTCTATTCATTCAAAAACCCCTTTTTAAAGTTAATATTAACAAAGGCAGAACTTATTAAATTTAAATTAATTATATTTTATTTATTTTATATCCATTAATAATAATATCTTATAACATAATCCTATAAATAAATATATGTTGTCATTGAGAGGTCTCTCTCGTCCAGCGAGTTCAAGAGTCAATTATGAGAACAAAAACTCAACGCCAGTGGTTAGTAACAGAAATGATGCGTCTCAGCAATTTTACACGAGTCACATTGCATCTTAAAGTCCCATGTCAGTTTGCAATTGCAGCGGGTTTCGGTTAAAACTTTCTTCTGCTCAACGCTGTAACCGCATTCCCGGCAAAGATGGTTACATCTATCTTGATCTTCCTCCGATAGATCGTCATTGTTCGTTCCAGCTGCACACTGACGTCCAACCATACCATTCCATTGTGGCACTGCATCCAGTTCGCAGTAGTTGGGGGAATCGCGCATAAATACCAATACATCTAGGGGAATGTTGTCCCACAAGATACGAGAGTTGATAATTGTGTTCTCCAACAAAATACCTTCGTCGTACATCTGACGAATGTCGTCGGCAATTTCTTCGAATGGTTTCAAAACTTGTCGACACACTTGCTGGGAGCATTTGCCACTTGGAGCCATTGCGGTGCAAACACATTGCGTGGTGAGAGATTTTTCCAATAGATTGATGATGGCTTTGTAGTTGTGTGTGAAAATCTTGCCATAGAATTCATTTGGAAAGTTGACGTCAATGTGTCTTCTCAGTAGTATCTCTGCTGCCTGGGGATTATCGGAACACTGCGATGTGTAGGGGCTATCAGAGCAGGGACCACATCCTGCAATCATGCCACTTGAGCAGTTCTTGGCTGTGGTATAAATAATGGCTGCCGTTGCAATTGCCTCCACATAGGCACCTTCTCTATCCAATTCCGATGATTTGGCAGCACGTCTCAAAATGAAATCTGATGTGGGACAGTTCCACCGTTCCCATTTGAAGGATCGCTGGCAGTTTTCCATGGCCATTTCCATACTCGAACTCATGATGTTGTCCAGCGAGAAAGGAGTTTGTCTTTGGGTGTAAACGATGTTTTTGGTGGTGGTGTAAATACGTTGTGCCGCCATGTAATTCAGTTGCTGCAGCAGGGATGCTTGACAGATCTCCAGCAGGAAAACAGTGACGACGATGATATTTGTGTTAACCATTTTTCTGAAATTTTCTCTTCTGCTTATTTGTTGTTAATTACTTGAGTGTTGTTTGTTGAATGATGCCAGCAGTGAGATGTGTTCTCTTATTTATACCTACCAGGTATCAACACCCTTTGATGTGGAGATTTTCCAATAAGAAGAGGAGTAAGTTTGGTAAAAGGGGAATAATTTGATAAGACCTACGGAAACTTTGTTTTGGTTTGTGGGTCACAAAACTCTCATAATTGTGGTCAAAGGGAAATTTATAAAAGAAAATTTAATTCCAGGTAGTTTTCGAAGAGTTTCCCACGCCCTTGGGTGGTACATTCCACAACACTACTGGAAGTTGTGTGGAAAAGTAATTTAGATTACGATTTTGTGGGGCTAAACCCTTTGTTGTGTATGGATTACCAAAGGAAATATGAAATTAATTAGGGAAAGCTAGAAAAATTTTGTTTTAATTTCTCCACGAAAATTTTCTTAAGAAATTAGCTCAAAATTTGCAGATATGACGAATTATTTTAGAGGAGGACGATTTAAGGCCGGTTTCAGTACATCGATACGAGAATAAATGCAAATGAAACACACTATTACAAATGAGTTGATATTTTTAATTAATAATCTTGAAATAAATTTAAAATTTGAAAAACACATTTGGAATGGTTGTTTCTTTCGCATTTGTCGTACAAAAACAGGCCAGTATGTCAACAAATCAATATATGGATAAAATCGAAGGCCTAATTTAAGTTCAGACAACTCAAAGAAATAATTTTAATATTTCATCTTTTTTATTTAAATAATTGTCTTATTGTTTAGTTTTCTCTTAAAATTCCCCCTAAGCTAACTGTCTGTTGTCCATATTTTGAAAAAAATGTAAAATTTTGAAGGAGTTTTCCTTAGTCACAAATAAAATTCCATACTCGTTATTACAAATTTCCACAATCAAAATATCCCATAACAAATGTGATATTTAGGATTTATTTTTCCCCGTTCAAATGTTTTGGATTTTCAATAAGAATTTCTAAATATTGACATCAACATGACGCTTACCTGATAGCGACTTAAATTTCGGAGGGAAAATATCCATAACTTCCGATAGTAAAATCCAGGTAATTTATGATGCAATTGTGAAATATTTATTATTTTCCGGTCTTGTATGTCATCACGCCTTACTTGGTGACATGGAATTCCGTCACAAATAAAACCCAAGACAATGAAGGAATTTCAACATTTTACAAAAAATCCTTAATGGTAAACCACAAGGAAAGACATGGGTTTAAGTGAGCGAATTTCCCTGGCGCCACTCTAGAAAGACCAATTTAAAATGGAAACTCCATTTTATCAATGAATTTTTGAAAACTTCCATTAGCATTTCCGTACATCGGATATTCCAATGCATAAGCATGCTTTTTTAACTGCGTCGATATAAATATTGAAAATTTAATGATGATGACTCGTTTTGGCATTATGGTTTCTCCAAATGGAGAACTGTGACTTAAATATAACTTTTGTTTTCTTCAAATCTAGTACAAATCAAACTTGATCCGAAGAGGCCAAATAAGGCTGGGTTTTTGAAAATTCGTAGTAGGACGGTTCGAAAAGTACCAAAAGTTATTAATTATGATATCCTTTGTATTTGGTGAACCAGTACAGCTAGAATTCCTATATTTGGAATAAGTGTGACTAATAGAGTGTGTAATGGATGTACCAAAGGGTTATTCGCACTATAAGTGTACAAAAATACTAAAGGTTAATATATTTACTACCATTTCGTATCATGTAAACGGTTGGAGTTAGAAACTTGAAATTTGGAATGGGAATCAAGGTTGAGGAGTAGGCTCGATGTAAGAAAGTAATTTTGGGAGTGTGTACCCCCATTAATACGTAAAGTACTAAGCGGTACTAAATTTAGTACATTTTAAATTTAAAGGAACGGATGGACAAGGAGTCGTGAAATTTGAAATTAACATTACTGCCGGAATGTAGTATTGGGATATGGAAAAAGTTTTCGATATTTATACTTAAGTGTACGAAAAGTAGTAAATGGTACTGAATTTCGTACAATTTCGATTTGGGTGAAACGATAGAGCTGGAATTTTGAAATTGCATTCTGGGACTAAGAAATGAAGGTAGTTTTTAAAATGTGTACATATGTGTACTAAATGGTACTAAATATGGTACAATTTAAATTTTGGGTGAACCATTGGAGATGGTGTCCTGAAATTTGGAAGTAAGATTTCTATTGGACTCTATGATACTTAAGTGTACGAAAAGTACTAAATGGTACTAAATTTGGTACAATTTGAATTTGGATAAACCAATAGAGAGCTGGTATTCTTAAAATGTGGAAATAAGATTACTATTGCATTCTAAGTCTGAGGAATGTGGGTAGTTTTGGAAGTTCGAACCCATCTGTACTAAATGGTACACAATTTGGGTGAACCGATAGAGAAGGAATTCTGACATTTAGAAACAAAATTACTATTGCATTCAAGGACTGAATACCAAAACATGGACCTAAATGACTCATTTTTATACCCTCAGCCATATGGATATTATTTGATACGACCAAAACGTTCTTCGTCGAAATAACGGTTTTAGAGCCTAGGTCTCTTTGGACCAAATCCGTTTCAGGATATTTGGAGTCGATTTAGCGATGTCTGTCATTCTGTCCATCTATGGAAATCAATCTAGCTTCCGATTGAAATAAAGTAGGCTAATAAAATTTTACTCAAATGTATATTATGTCTGCAGGACTTTTGATATTGAAAATGGCTCATGTAGATCCATGTTTTGCTATAGCCCCCATATAACGGAAAGTTTTCACCCAAATAACGGTATCTCCCGATATTCGGTATTTTGATGGTTTTAGCGACATTATTCACCACAATTGTTTCAAATTTGGGTTTAGAAGTTCGTTATGGATACTAAAGCCTATGACAGAAAAATGTCTGTGCAGGTCCACGTCTTCTTACAGCCCTCATACAGTGGCACCTCACTATTATCGGTTTTTTGATGATTTTAGCAACATTATTCAATAGTTTGAAATTTGGTATTTGAAGTTCGTAATGAATACCACAGCCTGTGACAGAAAATTTTTTGTGCAGGTCCACGTCTTCGTATAGCCTTCATACGGAGACACCTCACTATTTTCGGTATTTTGATGATTCTAGCTACATTATTCACCGATTTTTTTTTTAAGTTTCGCATTTGAATATTTTAATGGCTTATGAAAAAAATTGCCTATGCAGGTCCACGTCGTCGTATAGACTCTAATATAACGGCTACATTCCATATTTTTAAAATTTTAACAGAATTTTTAACGGATATTTTTTTTTTTTGAAAATTGTCAAATTCGTTCCGAAATTGGCCCGGTCGAACTTTCGGCTATTTAACTTGTCACTTCTTTAATGTTAGTAGTTATTTTTAAACATTTAAAAGAATTTTTAACGGATTTTATTTTTTTGAAAATTGCCAAATTTGTTCCAAATGGCGGAAGGTGTTCAAAGTTCTCTCCAGTCGAACTTACAGCTTTTTAACTTGTCATTTCTTTAATGTTAGTTGGTATACTTTTCGTATCAATCTTTTGAAAACTACTGACTTTCGAATTTTTTTTAAAAAATTAAATTATTTAAAAAAATAATTCTTTTTAATTGTTAATGGCTTTTCTCCAATTCGCAATTACTACCCAAAAAACTATTTGTTTCCAATCTAGCCGACATTTATGAATTAACTACCCGAATACTATGTGGTAAGACCACTAGTCTATGTTTGATCAGTGATTGTAAGTCTTTTAGGCGTTTATCTGCTGATATTGGCCCCTAATAATAGTAATCCGGACGTTGATTATATATCAATGAAGTCGATGTTCTGTGCGTCGCTGTTGTCGTCGTCAGCGATAAGATTATCAGGAACTAAGAAAACGGAGATAATATTTTATTGCAACTTAATTATGATATAGAGCAGGCAGGCGGCCGTTTGTTGGCCAATTTCGTTGGCCAGAAGATTAGTTGCGTTCGGTATAGCGTGGTAGACGGTTCAGTTAACACTCTCAGCTGGTAAGTTCCGAAGGAAACGGCAATTTCTCAAGGAATTAAAAGTGAAAAAGGATTTCCTCTTTGTTCCATTAGAGCACAACAATCCCGTTTTACTATGATAATAACCGCAAAGGTAGTCTCGATTGGATTGGGCTTAGCCCTCACAGCGTTCACTGTCTCCACCATTGTTCTGGCAGTGCAAAAAACCAATTTGCAAAATGAATTGAATGAAACCAAGGAAAAATTGGATCTTCTGGAGGAGGCCTTGAAGACAACCACAACCACTACAACATCAACAACATCGACCACCACCACCACCACAACGACTCAGGCACCACCATCAACGGATCCTGAACCAACCACCCCTACAACTCCTGCTCCTTCTCCTCAACCGGTAAGCTTGTAAACACGATTATTCCCATTTTTCGAAGGGGTGTAACCCAGGGAGCCTTAACTGCATAAATTCCTCTTCGATTACAAAAAAATTTTGGAATAAAAAATATTCCCCAAAATTTAGATATGATGTTGTCGGACACCTATAAGCGATAACAAGTCTTTGGCGGTTATTGATCTCTTATCGGAGTAATTCGGTAAACACATCGTAACATTTTTTTATTCTTTTAAAATTTATATCGGTCATAAATTTCCGGCCCCGCCTGAGTAGAGAATAAAAAAATTACGGGGTCTCCTGAAAGTGAAAACAAATTAAGATTCGGTAAAAAAATATTACCTCACATTTAAAGCTATCCGATTTGTAATCCTTTTCGCTAAGGATGCTAGACAGTGACCCCTGGGGCCATCTACTCTACACTAGAACACCATTGAGGTCATCCACTCTACAGCAGACGATTACTGAAGTCATCTACTCTACCGTAGAAGACCACTGGAGTCATCCACTCCACCGTAGATGACCACTGGGGTCATCTACTCCACCATAGATGACCACTGGGGTTATCTACTCTACCGTAGACGATTACTGAGGTCATCTACTCTGCAGTAGACGACCACTGAGGTCATCCACTCTACAGTAGACTACTACTGAGGTAATCTACTCTACAGAAAATTATTACTAAGGTCATCTAATCAACAGTAAATGGCCACTGAGGTTATCTACTCTATAGAAGATGACCGCTAAGGTCATCTACACTTCCATAAATGACCACTGAAGTCATCTACTCTACATAAGATGACCACTAAGGTACCGTAGATGGCCATTGTGGTCATCTACTCTACAGTAGACGGCCAACCTCAATGGCCTATACATTATACAGTAGACCGCCATTGAGGTCATCTATTCTACAGTAGACGACCATTGATGTAATCTACTCTGCAGAAGACGATAATTTATTTTCTTTTTTTGCTTTGCTCCACAGATAAATTATCGCCTGCCCGGAAATTTGTTGCCAATCAATTATGATTTGTATTTGCATCCTGATGTTGGCACCGGCAACTTCTCCGGCCAGGTCAATATCCGCATCAGTTGTGTCGAAACAACAAATACCATTATCTTACACTCGCTGTACATGACAATCACCAATGTCTATGTGACGGGTGTGGGCAGCAGTACCAATTATGTCAAGAACTATAGCTTGGATAGTGTCCGTGAATTCTTGATTATCGAAATGGCGGAAGAGATTGTGGCACCACGGAACTTTACTTTGGGTATTCTTTTCGAAGGCAACATGGATGCCAAAATTATTGGTTTGTACTCATCCTCCTATACGAAGCCGGATAATACCAAAAAGTAGGCAATGTTTAAATAACTATTTGAAAAAGAATTTTTAAAATAATCTCCATGTTTTATTAGATGGATTGCCACATCGAAATTCGAACCCACCTATGCCCGTCAAGCCTTCCCCTGTTTCGATGAGCCCGCAATGAAGGCCACCTATGAAATCACTTTGGTCTATCCCAATGAAGGTGGCTATCATGCCCTCTCGAACATGGATGTCATGGTAAGATATTTTCTTTACGGAAATTTGGCCTTTTCATCACATCTCTCCCCCATTTGCAGCAAGAAGTTAACCAAGGCACCCACACCGAAGTCTATTTCACAAAGAGTGTACCGATGAGCACCTATTTGGCCTGTTTCATCATTTCGGATTTCCAGAGCAAGGGTGTCACCATCGACACCAAAGGCATTGGCGAGGAGTTCCAAATGCGTGTCTTTGCCACCCCTGAACAATTGGACAAGGTTGACTTTGCCGTCGAGGTTGGCAAGGGCGTTATTGAATACTATGTCCAGTACTTCCAAATTCCCTATCCATTGCCAAAATTGGGTAAGTGAATTCGGATCGATGATTATTGTAACTGGTGACCGCTACTCTACCGTAGATGATCACTGAGGTCAACTACTCTACCGTAGATGACCACAAAAGTCATCTACTCTACAGTATACGACCACTGAGGTCATCAATTCTACAGTAAACGACCACTGAGGTCATCTACTCTACCGTAGATGACCACTGAGGTCATCTACTCAACCGTAGACGACCACTGAAGTCATCTACTCTACCGTAGACGACCACTGAGGTCATCTACTCTACCGTAGACGACCACTGAGGTCATCTACTCTACCGTAGACGACCACTTAGGTCATCTACTCTAACGTAGACGACCACTGAGGTCATCTACTCCACAGTAGACGACCAATGAGGTCATCTACTCCACAGTAGACGACCACTGAGGTCAGTAAACGATCACTGAGGTCATCAACTCTACAGTAGACGTCCACTGAGGTCATCAACTCTACAGTAGACGTCCACTGAGGTCATCAACTCTACAGTAGACGTCCACTGAGGTCATCTACTCTACCGTAGACGTCCACTGAGGTCATCTACTCTACCGTAGACGTCCACTGAGGTCATCTACTCTACCGTAGATGACCCCTGGAGTCATCTACTTCACCGTAGATGGCCACTGAGGTTATCTACTCTACAGTAGAAGACCACTGAGGTCATCTACTCTACAGTAGAAGACCACTGAGATCATCTACTCTACAATAGAAGACATAGTCTTCTCTGCAGGGGACGAACAGTGAGACCATCTCCTCTGCAGTTGATGACCACTGTGGTCACCTATTTTAAAGGTCATCTACTCTCCGGTAGATGACTATGTGGTCATATACCTCTCTGTATATGAAGATTATTTACATAATTTAACAAATCTTTTGGAATTTCTCTTTCACTTTTCCCAGACATGGCTGCCATACCTGATTTCGTATCTGGTGCTATGGAACACTGGGGCTTGGTGACGTATCGTGAAACAGCACTGCTCTACGATGAAAAGGTCAGCTCCACAGCCAACAAGCAACGTGTTGCCAGTGTCATTGCCCATGAATTCGCGCACATGTGGTTCGGTAACCTGGTTACCATGATGTGGTGGAATGATTTGTGGCTAAACGAAGGTTTCGCCAGTTACATTGAGAATAAGGGTGTTGAGGCGGTGTTCCCCGAATGGAAAATGGTGAGTTCAGAGAACTCTCTCAAAATTCGATTGCTAATAAGTCTTTTTTTTAGCGAGATCAATTCATTACCGGTACCTTGCATGGTGTTCTGTCGCTGGACGCCACCTTGGGTTCACATCCCATTGTACAAAAAGTGGAAAATCCCGACCAAATTACGGAAATTTTCGATACCATCACCTATTCGAAGGGATCTTCGATTATTCGCATGTTGGAGGACTTTTTGGGTTCGGATAATTTCGAGCATGCGGTGACCAATTATTTGAATGAATTCAAATACAAAAATGCCGTTACCGATGATTTCTTGACGGAAATTGACAAATTGAATTTGGGCTTTGATGTCAAGGCGATTATGCGCACCTGGACCGAACAGATGGGTCTGCCGGTTGTTGAGGTTGAACAGATCTCGGCCACGCAATACAAGTTGACCCAAAAGCGTTTCTTCTCCAATCCCGATGACTACAATGGCGTTTATGATGATTCACCCTTTGAGTATGTTTTTTGTTTTATCTTCCGGATTGTATTTGCATTCTCTGGAACGAGTGTTCTTAAATGTTTTTTTATATTTTAATTTTTTTTTTGCCACGAACAGCTATAAATGGTCCATACCAATTACCTACAAGACCAGTGCCAGTTCGGACGTCCAACGTGTCTGGTTTTACTATGACCAAAATGCCGGTAAGTCTTTTGATGCGGTCTTGTTTTAATGGGTGTCGTATTTCTTATCTCCAACCGATTTATTTCCATTTTCTTTCTTTCTTCTCTAATTGCAGTCACAATTAATTTGCCCAGCGCCGTGGAATGGATTAAATTTAACTTCGACCAAGTGGGTTATTATCGCGTTAATTACCCCATTAGTATGTGGGAAAATTTGGCCAACAAATTGATTGAGAATCCAAATGTAAGTTTTTTTTGAAATCAGAAATAGTATTTTTAAGAAATCCAAAAATCTAAAACAATACTGGGCGACAAAATTAATTTTTTTCAAAAATTATGGGAAAAATCGAGCAGATTATGAAAGTAGAGCTTTAAAAAGAACATGTATCGGCGTTATGAAAGTTTACATCGTAAATTACCTAAATAGAGGGGACACGTTGAGGTCATCTACTTTAAAGTAGATGACCACTGATGTCATCTACACTGCAGTACACGGCCACTGAGGTCATCTACTCTACAATAGACGACCATTGAGGCCATCTACTCTACAGTAGACGACCATTGAGGTCATCTATTCTACAGAAGACGACCATTGAGGTCATCTACTCTACAGTAGACGAAATCATCGGAAATAACCTAAATAGAGGGGACACGTTCCTCAGGGTTTTAATCATATTTTCCATAGTTTTTTTTTTCTACGTCAAAAGAAACCAAGTTAAAGCCAAATAAATTACCCCCGATACCCCCAATTTTTTGTTATTACCATGAGGTCCAGACCCATTATTTTATACCCACCCCCCATTGTATGGAGGGTATATTAAGTTTGTCATTCCCTTTGTAACACCTCGAAATATACATTTTAGACCCCACGAAGTATATATAGTCTTGATCTGCATAAAATTCTATGTCGATTTAGCGATGTCCGTCCGTCTGTGGAAATCACTCTAGCTTCCGAGCGAAATGAAGTGGGTTGATACAATTTTACACAAATACATATTATGCCTGCAGGACTTTTGGTACTGAAAATGGGTCATATAGGTCCGCGTTTTGGTATAGCCACCATATAACGTTACCTCCCGATATTCGGTATTTTGATGATTTTAGCGACATTATTCACCGGAATTGTTTCAAATTTAGTATTTGAAGTTCGTCGGATGCTACAGCCTATGACAGAAAATTGTCTGTGCAGGTCCACGTCTTCGTATAGCCCCCTATTAAGGGTACCTACCTATTTTCGATATTTTGATGATTTTAGCGACATTATCCGGAATTGTTTCAAATTTGGTATTAGAAGTTCGTAATAGATACTTCAGCCTATGACAGAAAATTGTCTGTGAAGGTCCACGTTTGGTATAGACCCTATGTAATGGTACCTCCTTATTTTCGGTATTTTGGTGATTTAAGCGACATTATTCGCCGGAAATGTTTCATATTTGGTATTTGAAGTTCGTAATGGATACTACAGCCTATGACAGAAAATTGTCCAGGCAGGTTCAGGTCTTCGTATAGCCTTCATATAACGGCACCTCCTTATATTCAGTATTTTGATGATTTTAGCGACATTATTCACCGGAATTCTTTCAAATTTGGTATTTGAAGTTCGTATTGGATACTTCAGCCTGTGACAGAAAATTGTATATGCAGGTCCACGTCTTCGTATAGCCTCCATAAAACGGTACCTTCGATATTCGGTATTCTGATGATTTTAGCTACATTATTCACCGGAATTGTTTCAAATTTGGTACTTGAAGTTTGTAATGGATGTTACAGCCTATGGCAGAAATTTGTCTGTGAAGGTCCAAGTCTTCGTAAAGCCCCCATATGACGGTACCTCCCGATATTCGGTATTTTGATGATTGTAGCGACATTATTCTCCGAAATTTTTTAAAATTCCGTATTTGAAATTCGTAATGGATACTGCAGCCTAAGACAGAAAATTGTCTATGCAGGTTCACGTTTTGGTATATTTGGTACCGGAATCGTTTTAAATTTGGTATTTGAAGCCTGTAATGGATACTGCAGCCTAAGACAGAAAATTGTCTGTGTAGGTCCACGTTTTTCAGCCTATCACAGAAAATTGTCTGTGCAGGTCCACGTCTTCGTATGCCCCCATGTAATGATACATCTCGATATTCGGTATTTTGATGATGACAAAAAAATACTTATGCAGTACCACGGGTTTGTATAGCTTCCATATAAAGTTTTTCATTTGAGCGGTATTTTTCGGCGGATTTTTTTTTTTTTTTTTTGAAAAATTTCAAGTTTTTTCCGAATGTATAAAAATTTCGGAACTGCTTTTTTGGTAAATATCGTAACTCAATCGTAAAAAAATACTTGAATTGGGGCTATCCTTACAAGGGGACCGATATGACCCATTTTCTTTACCATTGATTCAGGATGTAATCCAAAGATCGCTATCAAATTTAAAAGCCCTATTCCAAAAATTGTGAAATATATATCTCAAACTATAAGGGTCCCTTTGTATGTGATCAAAATTGTACAAGGGCCTTAGCAAAATCTGGCCTAAGGACCCCAAAACTCCTTTGCGGGTTTGGATCTAAAAACGAGTAATAGCAAGTCCACTTGGAATATTCCTTAACCTTAAAACTGTCTATTGTACAGTGAAACTATAAGGAAATTTGCTGGAAATTGCAAAAAATTCAGAAGTTTTTCAGAAATAAAGCAATATTTTTACAAACAAAAATTTGAGCTATTTTCAATGTTACATATAAATTATACCAATTTCTGTTGTTCGGAGACTCACAATAAAATTTTATCTAGAATAATTCTTCCTTTAAAACCTTTCCCAAAAAATGAAGTATAAAGGGAGATTTTGGCTCCGATTGGTTTCGTGTTAAATTAACAGCATAAAAAGCAAAGAGAAAATTTGCACTTTTCGTACACTCGATTCGAATCTGATTTCCATAAAAAATATATAATATAAAAAATATACATGATTTATTCTGAGATTTATAGCGAAATTTTGTTTGGAATATTTTTTCTTTTGACAACTTCCGCTTAAAACGAAATTTTATGTTACTTATAGACATTAAATCAAAAAAAGTCCGAGGAAAAATTTATCCAAAAAAAAATAGGGAATATTTTCGATTTTTTGTTTGGAATATTGATTCAAATATTTTTTGGTATACAATGAAAATAGAGGTTTCTTTTCTTTGGTGACTCATAGTAAAATTCGGTGAACAATATTTTTGTCTTTAACGTCATTCTTCTAAAATAATGCTTTGATGGAGATTTTTGCGTAAACTCACACAAAATGCAGCTTTAACCCTAAAATGTATATGAGTTATTGGCGCTTACGTTAAATTTAGACTCTTCATGTCTTCTAGGACCCATAGAAGAAATTTGTGATAAATAATTTTGTGGAATATTTTGAATCGTTCCGATCCCGTTTAAATGGAGTTTTTGACCATATTTAAGAGAATGGACCAAAAAGACACCTTTATTGACTCGCTAGAGGGTTAACATTTTAGACCAAAATATTCCCCGTTTCTCTATCTACAATATTGCAGAAGACACTATATCCCTTAAATGCACGGATCCCGATGAATCTTAATATCCAAAAGTGTACGAGAGGGGGTAACTTGCACCCTCTATTTAGGTTACTTTGCGAGGTTAACTTTCAGTGTCTTTTTCTGTCTTCTTTTTTTGGGTCTTTTTTATAATCTGCTGAATTTTCTCCGTAATTATTTTTTATGTTCACAGTGTAATTAATACTTTCTATGGACCATGACTATGAGTCTAAAAAAAATATTAAAAAAATAAAGTTTTAAATTGGGAAAAAAAAACATTATCTTAAAAAAAATTCGAATCGCTTTGTTTTCAGGTCTTCTCGGTCGGCGATCGTGCTTGTCTGTTGAACGATGCCTTCTCCTTGGCTGATTCCACCCAATTGGCTTACGACATGGCCTTGGATATGACCAAGTATTTGGGCAAAGAAGATCAATATGTACCCTGGAGTGTGGCTGCCTCCAAGTTGACATCACTCAAACGCACTCTAATGTACACCGATGTCTTTGTGCACTATAATAGCTATGCCCGTGAACTAATTGAGCCCATTTACCAATCGGTTGGATGGAATGTTGGCGAGGATCATTTGCAAAAGTGAGTGAAATTAAGTTATTTGTTGTTAAACGATTTTCATTATTTTCTTTCTTAAGTCGCTTGCGTGTCACCATATTGGGTGCTGCCTGCTCCCTGGGTTTGCCCGCCTGCCTGAATCAAGCTTCCGCCGAATTCGACAAATGGTTGGCCAATCCCAGTACACGTCCCCACCCTGATGTTCGTGAAACAGTCTACTACTATGGCATGTTGAATTCCGGCAATGAGGAAAACTGGAATCAAATGTGGAACCTCTTTGTCTCGGAGACCGATGCCAGTGAGAAGAGCAAACTGATGTACGGTCTTGCTGCTGTGCAAGAACCATGGATTTTGAGTCGGTAAGAAATGGGGAAATGTTAAAAAACATCACCACAGAATTTTAAAAATTATTTTTCTCCCCAGCTACGTTCAACTGGCCTGGGATGATTCATATGTCCGCGGTCAGGACTACTTCACCTGTCTGCAATATATTGCCGCCAATCCCATTGGTGAGCCCATCGTTTGGGACTATGTTCGCGAGAACTGGTTGAATTTGGTCGAACGTTTCGGTTTGAACGAACGTTATCTGGGCAGCATGATCCCCTCGATTACCTCACGATTCTCGACTCAAACTAAATTGGAAGAAATGCAATACTTCTTTGCCAAATATCCCGAAGCTGGTGCCGGTACTGCGGCCCGTGTTCGTGCCTTGGAGACTGTCAAGAATAATATCGCATGGTTGGACAATAATTTGGACTTGGTTCGCCAATGGTTACTGAAGCCATGAAATGTGGTTTTTTAAATCGAAATTATTTAGTTGTATTAAATATGAGAAGGTAAAGATTTAATCTGCATTAAAATCAGGTCAATAAAATTTTGATATTTATTTTTAAAAATTGAATTTTTATTTTCGAAAGAAGTTTTGCGATATTCAATGGAGAAATATTTTATACCATTTCGTATCATGTGAACGGTTAGAGCTAAAAACTTGAAATTGGGCATAGGAATCAAGATTGATGAGTAGGGTCGATGTTAAGAGGTAGTTCTGGAAGAGTGTACTCATGTACATAAAAAACACTAAACGGTACTAAATTTGGTACAGTTCGAAATAGGAGAAACGGATGGAGCTGAATTTTTGATATTAACGTTACTGGCGGAGTGTAGGATTGGGATATAGAGGTAGTTTTCGAAATTTTTTCTTATGTTCACTAAAAGTACTAAATGGTACTAATGATACTAAATTGGTACAATCTGGATTTTGGTAAACCGATAGAGCTGGAATCCTGAAATAGGGAAAATAAGATAAGATTGGGAAATATGATGCAGGTTGTTACGGAAATTTGTACTTATGTGTACTAAATGGTACTAAATTTGGTACAAATTGGAATTGGAAATAACATTTCTATGGGAATGTAAGATTGAGGTGGTAGTTGAGGTAGTTTTGGAAATTTGGAGTGTAAAATTGGGGTATGTAAGAAGTTTGGGAAACTCGTACGTATGTGTATTAAATTGGGTACAATTTGGTCTTGGTTAAACGGATTGATCTGGAAATTTAAAATGTTGGGTTTTTTTCTGGTGGGTAGGGCTAAAATAAAGAGTTGTAGTTTGGAAATACGTTTAGCAATCGTACGAAATGTACAAAATGATATACAACTTGGTATTGTATGAACGGATACTGCTTAAAATCTGAAATTTTGTATTAGGAACGCTGCAAGTGTGTAGGGTTGACATTTGGACGTGGTTTTCGAAATACTTACTAAAAAGTACTTAGTACTACTAAATTTGGTATTTGGATAAGGAATTGAGTGGGAAGTCTATATTTCTAACACATGGCCGGGAATTTGGAAATACGTACTAAAAAGTACGAAAAGTACTACATAGTATTAATTTTGATATTTGGGGATGAAATAGAGCTGGAAATTTGAAATTTGGAGTGAGAAAGACTTTGATGTTTTGTACGATAGAGAATGTATGAGAGATGGGGATGGGGGATGGAGAAATGGGGTTGATGTAAGGATGTGGTTTTGAAAATGTGTACTAAGTGTACGAAACTTTGAAAAAAAAAATATGTTTTGGCTAAACGGAAGGATTTGGTAATTTGGTGAAATGTGTACTACAAGTGTATAAAAGTACTAAGTAGTACTATATTTGGTACAATATGACATTGGATGAAGGGATAGTGCTTTAATTCTGATATTATGGACGCTGTTCATGTGTAGCTTGAGCATATGGAGATGATTTCGGAAATGTGCATTATAATTTTACGAAAAGTATTGAATGGTACTAAATTTAGTATTGGGTGAAGGGACATGACGGAAATCTAGAAATTTGGCATGGATGTCACTGTTGGTGTCTGTGGTGAGATTTGGAGGTGGTTTTGGAAATGTGTACCATTTGTTATTGGGTGAAGGAATAGAGCTGATATTAAGGTCTCTGTCGGTATCTGGAATTTAGACAATGGATGGTTTTGGAAACGTGTTCTATAAATGGATTGTACGAATAGTACTAATTAGTACTTAATTTTGTATTGGATGGAGGGATAGAGCTGAAACCGTAAAACTTTATGTAGCGATGACTGTTGGTGTTTAGGAATCAGATTTGGAACTATTTTGCAAATGAGTTCAGAAATTATAAAAAGGAATAAATGTTACTGAATTTGGTAATGAGTGAATGTATAGAGGAGGAATCCCGAAATTTTATATTGAAATCTCTCTTGGTATCGGGCGTTGAGAGATGTAGATTGTTTCGGATATGCGTACTTAATGTTACCAAATTTGATATTGGGTGAAGCGATAGAGCTGAAATTCTGAATTTTTATACTGAGGTCACTGTTGGTTCCTAGGTCTTAAATATAGAGTTTTGGACAAAAAAAAAAAAAAAAAAAAAAAAAAAAAAAAAAAAAACGGATGTAGGTCCATTGTACAATGGCTTTACTAATACCCTCCTTGGTAAACTTTCAAAATGACTGACTTTTTAGGTCCTTAACTGCACACACAAAGGGATCCAAATATTTCAAGCAATAGTTCGCAACATTTTTTAAAGTGCTTTGGATAATGTTAAGAATCAATGATTTAAAAAAGAGGTCTTATGGGTCCACTTTTTTGTATAATAAATGCCGATATTAAGTTTTAGTCATATTTTCCACTTAATTTTCAAAAAAAAAAAAAAAAAAAAAAAAAAAAACTTATAAACACTCCCTTTCTCAGAACAGGTAGAACAGCACTTCAAGAAATCTGATTCGAAAATTTGAAAATACTTCTCCTCCATTTAGGTTACTTGCTTTTGTAAACTTTCAAAACGCCGATTTTCAATTCTAGATCTTCTGGAAAAAAATAATTTTTATCACCCAGTGCTATTTTCTTTATATCCGCAAATTATTTCACGATATTGGGACTTGTGCAATGTTTTTTTTTCTGTGAATTTTTTCCATATTTTGATATCGAATCTCACCATCGTCCGAGACGGAAAAAAACTGGCGTTGATGTCTCTAGAGTTGAAACAGTAGTCTTAGCGATGAGTGTCACACTGGGATGGCTAACTTCCTATTCTTGGCTATATAATCTACGATGCATACTGACGTCGTGAGGTTAAGTGTCTGCTCGAATCAAATTCATTATCCCTTCTGGGGGTCAGTGAGTAGGCAAAAGTTTAAATTATTTTAAAATCTTAACAGTTCTCCTGATCGACGTATTTGAAACTAACTGCTTATTATGAAAAAAAAAAAACTATTAAAAACAATTTTGAAAATATGCCATGACGTCTTTATCTAATTGCGCGCGAATTCGAAACACAAAGTCCTCTCTCCACATACCCCAAATTGGGTTAGATATCAGGGCGATTAGCTAATACTCGATTAGATATCATTCAAAATGTCACATTCAATTTGTTCAATTGTATTCTCGAGTATAACAACATGTTGACAGAGACAAAAACCCGATTGGACATATCTATTAAGCGGTGTCGAACGCAACTAATTGCGATACACACACCCGCCGAAACTGATAAGCTATTCTCTTAAAAAGATTGCAAGTCATTTGGCACGATTTGTTGCTGAGCATAAATGAATTATGTTCGTTATGGTTGATTGTGGTTAATGGAGGGGAGGGGGGGGGGGGGGGGGGGGGGGGGGGGGGGGGGGGGGGGATAGGACGTAGAGATAATAAATCAAAATTGGCAAAATCAATTTAGATAAAATATAGAAATTGATATATGATGTATATATACTATGAGCCTTTGATAGTTGTATGGCATTTGTGGGGTATCCGAAAGTGAGCATATATAAATGTTATGATATTCAAAACTCGGACACTTCGACTATATGGTACTGATATTTGAAAGAAGAAATACCGGAGTCTTGATTTAAGTTTTGTTAAAGCATAAAGCTGTTCATATGAAAGGTGACGTCAATACGAAGGTTTGCATACGGTCTCTGTATTGGTTCATGAGTTACAGCTATTTTACTAATACATTACATTTCGAAACAGGATTTTCGAAAATATTTCAGTGATTGAGTGACTTACTGATTCATCATCCGCCCAGAAGAAACGGTCTAAGCTAGATTTACATGTGGGATCAATGTTGGTGTGTAGGGGTGAGACAGGGTTTTTGTAAATTAGAACTGTAAGTGTACTATAAGTACTAAAAGTTACGGCAAATAGAATTCATTTTATTGGACATACGGATAGAGTATTCGAGAAATTTGGAATTAGAGTCTCTGACGTTGTATAGGATAGACAAACTACTGAAGAATTTTTCGAAATTCTAACGTGTGCCAAAATTACTAAAATGTACTAAATTTCGTACCATTTGGTATTGTGGTAATGGATAGTGGTAAAATCGTGAAATTTGGTAAAAGAATTAGGTTTGGGATGTGGGTTAATATAAGGTTTAGGTATGTGTACTACGCTTATGGTGACTAGGGTTTGAAAAAAAGTAGCTTTGGAAGTGAGTATTACATGCATACGAAAAGTACTAAATGGTACTAAATTTGGCATTGAAGAACTAAAATTCTGAAGTAAGCTTGATATCTGAAATGTTGGTGTTAGAGTCGGTGTATGTGCGTAGAGTTGAGATTTGGAAGTACTTTGTGCGAAAAATACAAAATGGTACTAAATTCGGTATTTGGGGCAAGAATAGTGTTGGAAATACGAATATTTGCATTAGGGTCGCATTTTGTGCAGCGGGGTTTAAGATTTAGAGGTTGTTTTGGAAGTACGTTCTACAAAGTAACACAAGGTGGTTCTAAATTGGATATAAAGTGAAGAAGAAACAAGTAAAAAAGCTGTAAGTTCGGCCGGGCCGAACTTTTAATACCCTCCACCATTTGGTATAAATTTGGCAATTTTCAAAAAAAAAAAAAAAAAAAAAAAATAGATAAATAAAATCCGTTAAAAATTCTGTTAAAATCTTACAAAAATACCGAATGCCTATACGACGACGTGAACCTGCATAGGCAACTTTTGTCATAAGTTATTACAATATTTAAATGCAAAACTTGAAGAAAAATCTGTTTATAATGTAGCATCAAAATGCCGAATACCGTATATGGGGGCCGTTATATGGGGGCTATACGAAGACGTGGACCTGCACAGACAATTTTCTGGTATGGGCTGAAGTATCGATTACGAACTTCACATGCGAAATTTGAAACAATCCGGGTACATAATGTCTCTAAAATCATCAAAATACTGAATATCGGGGGGTATGGTATATGGGGGCTATACGAAGACGTTGACCTACATGGCCCATTTACTATTTTATGCTGCAGTATCTATTACGAACTTCAAATACCAAATTTGGAACGATTCCGTTAAATAATGTCGCTAAAATCATCAAAATACCGAATATCGGGAGGTACCGTTATATGGGGCTATATG